CACAGTGTGAACTTAGTTTCTATTTTGAGAAATATGTTTGCTTGTGGGTACGGTGTCTTTTATAATCAACGATAGTAACCATTGTAGGAACTAGGGGAATTTCATCGAGGAGCATATTTTTTCTTCATTGCTGTCTTTTACTAAACATTCGTCCAAAGTACACCTTGTCCACGAAATATGCTGCTCTTCTGCTTCACCAGTGATTAAAAACATATTTCCGGACAGGATAGCCGTTTTCATATGCAGGTCTTTCGGTTTTGCATTAAAGAAATAATGTCTTAACTATGTGAAGACATCAGGTCCAACATGTATAACATCTTTTAATGCTTTACACTAATTACCACCTAGTCATTCCTCAATATGTCGGTTCTAAAATCTCTGATGTAGCGGGAATTTGACAAATGTAATGAGACCAGAATCGAGGAATATTTTAATAATTTATTAATTCCCAATGTAACATCAAGAATAGAATATTTAGCGAAGAGATTCTTTTCAACGAATTTATTTCCAAGCTGTACAATCGTATATGTATGATATTTTAAAAATTATATCCCGTGAGGAAAACTAAGCACTATATGATGATGATGACATAGGCACTTTTGATTATGATCAGAACTGAAGTATGAACGATAGCAAAGTAGATTATGCAACATACGGAATGCTTCATAGAAGGTATATAACTCAGAAGGGGGGTGAAAAAATTGGTTAAAGTGGTAAATCAATCAAGTATTGTGTAATGAGATTACACAACTTGGTCAGGATGAAACCATTGTTTTCTAAAAAGATTAGAACAATTAAGTGAAATGACTAATCAAATTGAGGGCAATTATAGTAATAGTGGTGATAAAGGAAGGATACAATGGTTAACCAAGAGGGAAAGTGTAAGCTAATGGGGGTGGGAAAATATTATGGTCATGATAAGAACACTGACTGTACATACTTCTTTTGTACACATGGATCGGGTTTTAGTTCATGAATGGCTAAAGCCTCAGCTGTTTTAAGAAGTTGAAAACGAATAAAATGTGGGAGGTTTGGGCGAGTTTGATAAATAATTTTAAAGCCATTGTCTGTGTTTGTTGAGTGATGGGAACCAATCAAATGTTTTAGAATCGAACTTCTAACAGACTTTCTTTTACCTTTATAAAACCAAGCAGGAGCATGTTCTCATATACGTGTAGAAAGTATTCTCGTGCTACGGCCGATTTACTTTGTTCCACAAGAGCAGGTGAACTGGTAGATGCACATAGAGGGGCCAAACAAGGAAGCTTATCTTTAACACAAACGGAGAATAATTTACGGCTGGCAAAAGTCAACTTCTGTCTTACTGAATTGAAAGTTATATTGATTGATCTGCAAAGACGATACTTTAGTACATCTAATGCTAGGTCACCTTTAAATTCTAGGTTCATTAACAATCATTTCTTTGAGACCGAGTGGATGACCGGTTTAGTATTTCTTTCTAGCATATTTTTATTCATGAAACGGCTAGGGCAACCGTTTTCTATAGGTGTGCTTTTTGAAAGCAATAGCTCTTCACTAATACAATCTTCACTACACATGTTTCTTATTCGATAGCAGAGAGAGTGAATAAGATCTCTTTTTCTGTTTACAGGCACTCAACTACAAAAATTAGCTAGTTGCCTGTTTCAGGTTGCTTTTCTGTAGATGGATCTTTCGAGGTATACATTCTTACGTCACGTCAGAAGCATATCAAGAAAAGAAATAGTTGATTCTGATTCCTTCTCTATGATAAACTTGAGGGCTTGATGACCTTCATTGAATGAACAGAGAATGCCGTCTAAATCAACATCTTTGCCACATAACAAACGTGTCGTCCATATATTGCAATTTCATCTTTATGTCTCTACACTTCATTATTGAAACTAAATTGGGCATTAAATGTGCATGTCAACGAAAGCTCTTTCAAGTAGCTAGTTGGGAGTCGTACGTCTAGACTGTATCGAGAATTTTACTGAATGCTGGATTTCAAACATTTAAAGATACATAACATTATTAAAACGAAGAATGTTATATTCGATAAGTTCTCATCAGGTTCTACGACAATAAGATACAGTTGTGGAGAGTAAAGATAAGCAACGTTTTAAGGCGAGTGCATTTTCAAAGTGAAATAAGTATACGATTAGCCAGGTGTGTCTCCAGATATGAAAATATTTACCGACTTGGTTTAGAAAAGATGAAGTGAGATCGGTAAAAGGTTCTATCCTAGAGCGGCTTATAAGCCCAGGACATCATCTAAATGCTAATCAGGCCCTAATGTGAAACACCGTTCACCAAGAACGACACCACGTGCAGCTTGCCAACGCCTGCTCAGCGTAGTTGAGACTATCACAATAAGGTTGATCAAAGCTGAACTTTACATTCAGAAAGAACACGTTCAGGTGTTTTCCCTCCCTTAGCTTTCAATAAACTAAAGTTAACTCCTGTCTTCCTAATTTTTTTTTCCTTCTTTTCAATCGAATATTCTAGACCTGTATCTATATATCATCTTACCACTGAAAGAAAAATCTATTTCCATGAAGTCCCTAACTTTCATTCTATTTCGAAAATATTTTCGCATCCAACTTGACCTATTTTTACGCTGTAAAGTTACATGTCTAGAGAACATAGTGAGAAACTATTGCAAAGAATATTTTTTTTTGTTCAGACTGTTTTACTGAATAATTGAAAAAAATGACAGTTTCAAAATATTGTGAAATCTCCATCTATAATCCTATCAATTGTAACAAAACAATCATAAGAATGTAGTTTTTATGGCTGAATACTTATTTCATTCATAAGAGAAAATGAAAATATGAATATGAATAGTGAAATATCCATAGAAGTAAAATGTCGAAGCTTACAAAATAGATTTTTTGTAATGTTTCATAAAACTGAAACAGTTATACGACATTGGAATGAATGAAAAGTATTTCTGGCTTATCGAAATTTGATACGAATAAGTTTATTGAATGCATATGCTTGATAAGGTAAAGTTTAGTAGGGTTTTTTTCTAAATGTCTGAAGACAGTTTAAATTGATTTGAATATATGAATGCATGTTCCACTAACATGAGTAATTAAATATATACATATACTTTTGTGTAGTAGAATATTTGTATTGTGTTGTATAGACTATCATCATCTTTTTTTTCCGGAATGATTCACAAAATTTACAGATTAAAACTTGTAGAACAGAATAATCATTCCAAATGCCTCTTATGAACAAATCTAAGTTAGACGATTTGCCATCATTAGCTAGTACAGAACACATTTAGGATGTTACCATCAAATTATATGTTAGTGATTTATAAACGTTATACCAGGATTGAGATATCAAAGTGAACTAAAAACAAAACCAAAGTCTGAGATAGTATTGAGGCAAAACACCAGACTTCAAAATGTAACAATCTGAAATATCAAACATCATAGTTGACACTTTGAAATATACAAAGGTTTGAACAGAATGCTAGTTTACTGTTCTTGTATTGCATACTTTATAATATGTATAATACTCTTCAGCTTCCACTAGAGGTTATCTATCAACTTTGGGATATTTGTCACTAATCTCAATGACTTGACATTTATTTGAACTATATTTTTGTGCGAAGTGATGGGATTTGTTCAGTCTGATAACACATTTAGCAGATGCCACTGGTTCGAGTCCTGTCACAACCCAGGTTTTCGTTTGACATTCAGTCATACTTCCATAAGAGTAATATATGCGTTTGTTTTTTCTCAAAGATTCACCTCAACTCCTTACAGTCTGAACATTATTGCAATCCCCTTCTATCCATTTGTAAAAGAAATGAGTCATTGAAACAAAAGGTAATATAGATTTAGAAAAGAATAGGCCATCGATTATAAATTGAGTAATTGTTAAAGTCTAAGGGATTCACACTACCTAGAGGGGTAAGATAAATAATGTTCAGATAACAAAATTGTTATGTGCAATAAAGCAGAGAGAAAAAAAGGGTAATAAAGTTTAGGATCTTTTTTGGCAAACTGAATCCAACGAAGAAGTGCACGACTGACAACTGGATCCTTTTCAAAGCATAAATCAAGTGTAAGCCTTTTGTTTGCAGAGAGAATTGAGAAAACTGCAATAATTTCTAGCTTTTCTATCTGTCATTTACCTTAAATAATTTGAGGCTGTCTACTGTGTGTCTAGTTACTGCGCTGTCGCATAAATGTGAACCCTTTAGTTGAAAGTTAGTAGAAATATGCCATGGAATGCAAACCAGAACCCATCAATTTGTTATTCCATTTCATGCAATTTGTCGCGTTCATGTAAATCAGTACACGCTGTTGAAGTCAACTAGATATTACAAAAACTTTACTTTAGATTGCAGCAAGATACACACTTTTTAAAAGCAACGTTAGGTTTTCATTTGATTTTCCAACCGATTTAGTCAACTGTGAAGTCATACTGTAGGAAACGAGAGGACAAAAAAGAAGGAAGGAATGTTTATCGTCAAGATTTGGTACACCTTGCACTAAGGCAGTCATTTGCAGGATGTGCTTCATTTCTTCTTTTGCTGCTATCTTGATTAAACTCTTAATACGCCCACATTGTCTCTTGCGTTTCTCTGTGCAGAATCCCTACCCATTGCTGGCAGTTCCCTATGATTTCTGCTTCCCTTTCAACACATACTACTTATATCCATTCTTATCAGCAACGCCCACTTCAATACAATAGGGTGGGATACGGTGATAGTCCCAAAATGTAATAAAGGCACACAGAGTTCATCGTTACACTTTACACGTTATCAGACATATAACCAAATAAACCGCTAAGTAGTTATCTAAATTAGCATTTTGTATCAGTCTGGATACACTACTTGTTAATTAGAAACAGTAGGCTAAAACTTTGCATAAAATTTCCAATATAAAGAGGATAACACAGGCTAACAAAATAATTATATTTTATGAAATTAGAGAAAAAGATAATGAGAATTATTAAAAAAATATGAGGGAAAAACACTGAAATACGAATGGTATATACGAACATTAATCATCAGAAAGGTTTTTTCCCCAATAAAGTAAACAATGAAACTAACTGATACACACCAATACGCAGAGATTAAATTTCAGTCTTAATAATGTACACAATAAGAAAATGTGTTTAAAATTAGTAGATCATGATTATGATGTGAAAAAATTAGAAACAAGTATAAAACAGTAAATCGGGTATCAGTCCTCTGTCAACATCTCCACTCTCAAAACCATCCCAACTGTCATGAAAATGAAAGATTACAGCTTCATTAGTTCCTAGTGGTTGACAAATTGAATCATTTGGAATCATAGAAAAAACTTGCCTAGCCGATTTTAATCGTTGTTTCTTAGTACTAGATGATGAAATCTTTAGAGAATTTTTCATAGCATCTTCTTCTCGTTTTAGTGTATCTTCTGAAGGACAGTGGATGAGAATCTCTGATCTTCCAAATAAACCAATATAAGATGTTGATGAATTGATTGCTGTAGACGATGTAGACATTGATGATGCATGCTCAGGGTTTATAGTACTAAGACTTAAATAATATCTTCTGCCTCTGACCAACTGAAAAGTAAAAGGAATAAATAACACGTAGGTGAGATTTTATTGAAATGATGGATCTAGATAAAGAAATGTTTTACGGATGAGTGAATTGAGTTATCTAGTTTAACAGTCTCAAATTTCAACTGCTGATAAGACGGTTGAGCTAGGAAAATTTTTTATTCCATATTCCCTCACAGCTTAGATGTGGACAAAAAACTCATGAATGAGACGACGGTGGTGTAATTTTTTACAATATTATTTTTATAACTCACACAGAACTTATGATTTACCTAATTGAAGTTAGCCTAGAGAAGCGATTCACTAAATTATAATATTCTAGGAAAATTTCCAAAATAAGACAAAAGTTTAGCTTTTGTCCGCTTTAATTGCGCACTATGGAATAATAATCTATTGTCAGTTCCTACTATATACTTACCTCGTGTCAATTAGAAGCTACTCAGGGAAATGGAGACACAAAGCCAAGCATTTCAGTGACCATGATAAGATTAATCCTATAATCAGAGACTGCATTGAATGTAGGTCACGCTACATAGCTAACTGACAGTAGTAGGAAACTGTGGAGCACTGAGTTCAAATTCAGTGGCTCCATGGCAACGTGCTCACCACAAAATCCAATGTCTTGGTTACGATCCCTAATTAAGCCACAGGTGCTCGCTGTTGAGGACTCCTATACTAGGGCGAAAGGGATGTTCAGTGCTCCTAGGCTTCCAGTGGTTCTCTAGTTGATGTCAGTCAAAGGACAATAATACCTTGTAATACCTTCCGTATTGTTGAACGCTTTCAAAGTAGAATAATTTACAGCTTATAGTCATGTCTAGTAGTAACAGAGTAAATAATACACTTAACTTCAAATTAAAGGTGGGGACAGTTAAATTTCAATGACTGTTTGACTGATAACTAGGCATCAGAAGGACGATCTTCGAATTCCCCTCTTACCATTGAGCATTTTCATCTAGAAATAAGCTGAAGTCACATCTCAGTTGATAGAACACTAGGTTAGTAACCAAAATATAGGTGATCCGAACCATGACATAGTCCTGAGATAAGTTTCACCTTCAGGAGTCACATTATTTAAAGGCCAGTCTGTAAAAGACTTATCATCTGAGTAAGCCTAACCAACTGAAATGAAATGTAAGAATAGATTATGATCACTGGTGCTGTCAAGAAAAAAAATACTGAAATCGAAAACCTTCAGAATCGAACAATACCCATATACTATTATTTTACCATTATTTTTCCGTTGGGTTCCTAGTGGAACATTGGGCTTCAGATGCACGCCCCCATTTCACTCTCCTCCACACAGTCTTTTCAACCGGGCTCCATGACTGCTCACAAACTTTCATTTCTCTCTCGCACGATCTCATCCATGTCACCCTCACCTCCGACGCCCAACTCGTCGTTTCCCACAAGGATTCCACTCGACGGCCCCGACTTAGCTGCAGCGTGATGTCCCCAATCGGTCTTCTCATTGCATATCCAATCCACCTCCACCTTCTAGTGCATATTTGTTGAGCAATAGGTTCTTAGTTGGTTCGTTCCCAGTCACAGTTTGTTGTTCCTCATTCTCGTTATTCCTCGACCGATAGCTGCTACCTTGACGTGGTGGTCGGGCTTGCATATCACAATGACCCAACGAGCTATGCTGGTGGAACGCTTGTTCCCTCGAGGTCCTACCATACCAGAAAGGTCTGTTGGGTAGTGGTTAGACGAAAAGCAGTTACCGTTATAGTGTAAATTGCTACACTATGATGGGGGTCTGAGGGCGAAGTCGTACTGCTGCTAGCTGGATGGGGTGTGACAGCAGTAAGGTGTTTCCCTTGGATGACCAGCAGTGCCATGCTGATGCTGCCTTCTCAGTGGAAGGGGGGGTTAGAAAAGGTCGGCCCCAAAAATAACACACTCCACCACGCCCCACGGTCTGCCGGGCCGGCGGTGTTGGTTCACTTGTCGTTTCCTTTCGACCATCCGGCCCCAAAAATACAAAATTCAAAATAATCATACTCAAAAGGCTGGGTGTGACAGGCCTCAAGCAGATGTCCGATGGGCTCTGCGGTCACACAAATCTCTTTCAGGTACCTTAAGAAGAAATAGCCTTCCACGGTGTGGGCAGCCGGGAAGTGTCAACCGCCCTCACAACTCTGTCAGCACCCAAGTTTCTTCTGACTGCTATCCTCCTCCTCCATCATTACCTTCTAATCTTCCTTCACGTCTCTTAATTAATGATGCTGCATCATCTTCAATTTCTCCTACCTCTGCAGCCTTCGACAACGATCTGAGTCCACAGAACAGCATCCCTGGTCTCCTTAAACCACGCTCCAAATTACATATTGGAGCCTTCAATGTCCGCACCCTCCGTCAAATTGGCCAACAGGCTTCGTTGGCAAAGACTCTAGCAACTCGGGCATGGATGTGTGCTGTGTTTGTGAGACACGCATACAGGACCCAAGTGTGGTTATTCACCTGACCTCTCCTGACCAATCTGGTGAATCTACAAAATTCACCCTTCGAGTTTCTGGAGATTCGATAGCTAGCTCTCGTGGTCTTGCAGGTGTAGGTATAGCATTAAGCACCAGGGCAGAAAACTCACTACTAGACCGGAGTTGATAGTCGCCTCTGCGCTATGAGGCTGAACGGCACAGTGAGAACTAAAAGGAATAGTGAGACTCGCCGTTGTCTCTTTGTAATCTCTGCTTACGCACCCACTGACTGTAGTTCGGATGAAGTGAAGGACGAGTTCTACCATAAACTGTCTAACCTCCTCTCGAAAGCCAAACGTTCGGACGTAGTGGTTGTTGCAGGTGACCTCAACGCACAGGTGGGTAGACTGAGTGAGGCAGAAAGGCACTTAGGTGGCACTTTCGGAATCCCAGCTGAACGTACAGATAACGGTGATCGCCTATTACAACTATGCTCAGATAACCGCCTATTTTTAGCCAGCACAAATTTCAGACATAAAGAAAGGCACTGTCTGACCTGGCGTCCACCGAGCTCGACTCAGCGATGGACACAGATAGACCACATTGCTATTAGTCATCGCTGGAGAGGATCGGTGGAAGACTGCCGCTCCTTCTGGAGTACGTGTTTGGACAGCGATCATGCGTTGGTCCGAGCACGTATATGCCTGCGTCTCAATGGACGTAGAAAAAATTTGGCAACAAAACCACTACGAGTTCTGCTGGACAACGAAAACACCAAAGCCGTGTTCAGTGAGAAGTTGGCTAGGCAGTTATCGGAACAAAAGACTGTCACTCATCCAGAAGAAGCTTGGTGCCATCTTCAGTCTACTGTAAAAGCAGCACTGGAGACTGTAGCCGACTCCAAGATAATGGCTAAAAAGAGCCAGTGGATATCAGCAGCTTCTTCCAAACTAATGGATGCACGTGAATGCATCCCTGCAGGCTCTGAGTACAATGAAGAGCGAGCGCAACTTAAAAATAACTGACGAAAAGTCTGCGCAACGATCGTGAACAGTGGTGGGCAGCAAAGGCTAAAGAGATGGAAAAGGCAGCGGCGATCGGTAACAGTAGACAGTTATTTAGACTTATTAAGGAGACTGGGGGGAAATGGTCAACAACAGTTAGTGAGGTTATAGCGGAGAAGGACGGATCGGCGATTCACTCGCAGGGAAGACGACTGGGACGATGGGCAGAACACTTTGAGGAACAGTTTAACTGGCCTCCAGCCACCATTGCGCTGCCCGCTATCCAGTCGGACCCTGAATGGGACATAGAGACAGGTCCCCCAACACTAGAAGAAGTTGAGAAAGCGGTAGGTAGCCTGAAACGGGAAGGGCAGCAGGACCAGACGGACTACCTGCTGAGGTATACAAGAATGGTGGTAGAGTTCTCTTAGTCAGGCTAACGGAAGTGTTAGCCAGTATATGGGAATCAAATACGATCCCCTCCGACTGGTCTAAGTCACTCATCATCCCAGTCTTCAAGAAAGGCGAGAAGTCCTCTTGTGATAACCACAGAGGAATCAGCCTGACAAACATAGTGTCTAAGATCCTAAGTTCTATAATTCTCCGACGCCTGAGTGGAGCTCGGGAACAGCAAGCCCGAGAAAACCAGGCAGGCTTTAGACCTGGCCGTGGATGTATCGACCAAATATTCACACTGCGCCAGGTCCTGGAACATAGGCATGCTTACAGACGCCCGACAATAGCTGTATTTCTCGACCTGAAGGCGGCATTTGACTCCGTTGATCGAGAAGTCTTATGGCAGTGTCTGTCACTGAAAGGCGTGCCTAGTAAGTACATCACCTTATTGAAAGCTCTCTACTCGAACACTTGTGGGCATGTTAGAGCCTATGGTGAGTTGTCCAGGGAGCTATACTCATCAAGTGGTGTCCGTCAAGGATGCCCACTATCCCCATTCTTATTTAATTTTATCATAGATATTCTTATGGAGGTTTCCCTCTCGTCACCTAATTACAAAGACGTTGACCGAATCACAGGTGAATTTTCCTTAGATCTAGAATATGCAGATGACATAGTCCTGTTAGGTGAAGACGCTGACAAGATGCAGAGTCTTCTGAACACTTTGAGTGGGAATTTGAGAATGTTTGGGATGCGATTTTCACCACCCAAATGCAAATTTTTGCTCCAGGACTGGTCTTCAGCGGTACCGCGGTTAACAATAGAGAGTGAAGTGGTTGAGTGTGTTGACCACTTCACTTACCTGGGAAGTAGGATCAACTCCGGTGGGTTAGTTGCCGATGAGATTTCTGCACGGATACAAAAGGCTCGATTGGCTTTTGCCAATTTGCGCCACCTATGGCGCCGCCGTGATATTCGTTTGTCTATTAAGGGTCGCGTGTACTGCACAGCAGTCCGCTCTGTTCTACTGTATGGCTGTGAAACATGGCCATTGAAAGTGGAGGATACAAAAAGGCTTCAGGTGTTTGACCACCGTTGCCTTCGTAGTATAGGACGTATTCCGTGGTGTCACCATGTGAGTAATGCAGAAGTTAGGTGTAGAGTTTTGGGGAGAAGAGGTAAGTCAGTCGACGAGGTTGTGAACCTTCATCGACTGAGATGGTTGGGACACGTACTACGTATGCCTAGTCACCGATTGCCTCGTCACACAATGTTGGCTGAGGTGGGTCCAGGCTGGAAAAAGGCCCGAGGTGGCCAGACTAAAACATGGCACCAATGTATGAAGTCTCTGACTGTTGGTTTAAGCCATGTAGGACGATGCAGACTAGGTGGTTGGGGTCCACGGGACAAGAGGAACCAGTGGTTGGAGACCCTAGGTGATATGGCTCAGAACCGAAGTCAGTGGCGCAGATGTATACACACATTATCCTCATCTTAACAACGCTATACCGAATCTCACTATTTTGTCACTCCTCTTTCCTTTCTTCTCGTACTTTATATTTCTTTTGACTGCATTCACTTATCTTCATCCTTCACCTCACTACCTTTTTACTTGATGTGCTGATATGAGGTGTGGCAACTCGGACCGTTACGCAGTAATGTCTGGTCCTATGTTGACGATGATGATTCTCGTTATTCTAGCCACATGAACTCCATCTCCACCATCAAGTAAGCGTAGGTGGCAACTGTTGATGGATGTCTGTACCTTGCTAGAAATGCTTTCCGTTACGCGCAAAGTCTCTCAAACATCACAAAGAAGCACTGACTTACTTAACTCACTTTGTGTTCACAATCCTGAACTTGTTCATGCTTTATGCTGACTGAAGTGAAGTGCAGTGCAGTGCACATCAGTAGATCTCCACACTGATCCAAGATTGATGAAGGAAGGCCTGTCTTGCTTGCTTCACGATCCCTGCTTCGACGTCTTCATCTCTCCCACCGCCTGTAGTTGAAACGATGTTGCCTTGCCTAGGCACCTACGTGAAATAGACAACTTCCTCCTTTGGGTCTCTCCCACTCATGCCGATTGCTGCTCGCTGTTCCTACTGTTGCTGTTGTCGTCGATTGGGCATCTCATCACCTCTGTCTTCTCCACATTCACCTGAAGGGAATCCCATCTCCCCTCGCTGCCTTGCCTTGCCTCTTCTGACAACTTCACAGCTTTCGTCTGTACATCTTCCAGCTTGTGCGACAAGACATTACACACAAATCATCATCGGCAAAATCCAAATCTCCTAGTGTCTTTTCATCACTACAGCAACCATATATCCATCTTCTCACAGCTACTCACAGCTTGTGGCATGATCCAGTCCACTCCAGTCAACCACAATCAGCAAAATCATCAGTGATAGTAGGCGGCAACCTCGTCTCACTCCTGTCTTCACTTCAAACGCATCACTCAGCTTTCCAATGTGTTGTGAATCACTTGGCATTTAGCATGTAACATCATATAGCATAACATACAGCTGTTCGATGAGGTTGATCAAGGTTTGGGGCATTAAAACCGCAATGTTGAAGCAGCTGACAAATTACTTCTCAGCAGACGCTGTCGAAGGCCTTTTCGAAGTTGATAAGTTGAGGTGAAGATCCAGTTGACTGCCATTCTATGTTCAGTTCTATGATGATGCGTAGCGTTGCGTTGCAGTCTGATCCGCACATGATTTGTGCTTCTTGAATCCAAATACATTTATATGGTACAGATAGCTTGAAAATCGTAAATCATTCTAAAAACTAATGATATTTTAAAATCTGTTTATCGAACGTCCTAATTTCTTTAGATAAGTAAGACATTTTAACCGACGAAAATCGAATGAACTTTGTGTCTTTTAAACACTCCGAAATTAGGCAATTTATTATACTGAATGAGTTCTCTAAATACATAGGATAGTAGTCAGACTAATTTCAGCTTATTAGATAAAATTCAATTAGAACCAATAAGCATATGCAGATTTGCGTAGTGATGATTCTCCGCTTCTCTAAAATTACATATTAATATTGTCTTACTTAGTAGTGTTACGTTAGACACTGAAAACTTAATCTCAATAAGTATATCACCAGTAGATTCACCGAAGAAGAAATATTAATTTGATAAGAAGTTAAGATTCATAGAATTATCCAGAATACATACCTTGACTGGACAGTCAAATCGTACATCATAGACACGATTAGTACCATCAGATCGTAATTGCAGTTCTTTCTTTGCAAGACATTTTGTTGAACGTTTTTTCGATAGATGATTTGATGAATTCACATGAACTACAGGGGAATTAGTTTCATCTAATCGTGGTAGAGCTGCATTATCCCAAGGACTTGGATACACTGAGCGATTATGATGATGATAATTATTATTATTGCTCATGTTACTATTAGCCAAACGTGTAGATGCAGCTAAACTAGTCAAATCACTTGTACTTCTTGATGCCTGAGGAAGATAAATATGTTCTGGTGACTGAGATCCAATGGGCACTAAATCTGTATTCCCAACTCCATTCGAAGAGGATATTAGTGGAATACTACCACTTCCTGTTTTTAGTTCAACATGAACTGTACAAATATCACCAACTTGAGTTGAACCATATATTCCTACACCAGCAATAAAAACTGATGTAGATACCTATATAATGCAAAAATGAATTTCGATATCAAATGAATAAAAGGAGGGGAATAAACCATACGAACAAGTTTTCCAGTTGTGCCTATGATTCGGAAAATATCTCTGGTAATTCCTCTCTTCTATTTGTTTACCTTACGTTCCCATATCTTCTTTTTCCCCTCAGTCTTATACTACTTAATATTTTCAAGTAGTATAGTTTTTTTTATCTCATAAGGTTGCTTCCCCCTCAGTCTTGAATGTTTATTCTGTTCCATTGTATCTTGTCCACTACTTAATATCCATAGATGTCAGTATCTTTCACAGTTCATGATGCTCTTATAACTTTTTTGTTCCCTGATGTTCTATTTTACGTTGAAAATTTGTTTATCTTGAGTCTTTACCTCATCATGAAAATTAACTCATGTCTTTTACGTTCTCTTTCGGTTGTTTGGGCATAGCCTTGCTACTTTTATAGTTGACACACTCTTTGCAAGTGCTTTGAAAGCGGTAAACCCACAGATACCTCACGATTTAAGGTTCGTATTTTATTACTCAATATTGTTTATTAATATAGAACAGCATTTCAGACAAATCCTGTGTTTTGGATTTCACGCGTAACTTGAACGCTTAGTTTATTGTTGAGAAAAAAGTCGCTTGTTTGCTGTGATCCCAAATTACTTTGAAAGAAATATACAATCTCATTACAGAAAAACAAACAAATCCTAGTCTTCTCTCGAAATGCAGAAGTTGTAGGTTCAGAAAACTAAACTGGTTGAAATAAGCGAAATAGAATGAGTTGTATGAAATACAATAAGAGATGTGTAGGTGATGCGATACAGATCGCGCAGAACCTAATTTCTGTGTCTCCTTCTAAGTTATATGAAGCATTAAATAACCTCTGTACCCACTAAATTTCTTTATTTCATAATGCTTAGAGTTTCAATTCTGAGGTGAATACAACTAATTCAGTCTTTACAAACTGATAGAATTCAACACTAAGCACAGTATCACTAGGTGGACCATATAATATCTCCAATCAAAATAGTTTATACCATGAAATACTAGTTCATATAATTCAAAGGTTGAACCATAACTTCGTTAGGGAAAACTTCCTCAGTTAGATGTTATACAAAGACACACCTTTGTCGTAAAGAGGGTGATATATAGATTTTATGATATAAATCTACTTCACATAATGTGAAATCTTCACGATTACCCTGAACTTGGTTTAGTTTTTTGACAAAACAAAGAAATATATTTATGACTTTTAAACACAGAAGCATAATGATTTACATGTTCATTAAGAGTGAATATTTCTAGCTTTGTGAGTATTTAATGATCTTTGAGATACCTAAAAGCAAATCTCATAATTAGAAGATGAAACTCATCTAAGACGAAAGTGTATGATCTTGAATTGTTACATTTCACAATGACACGACAAGTGAAGTTAACAACATTTGAGAGACAAGAACAGCATATACATGAAGTAAGAAGAGATGAGTGGACAGCAATCGCATATAGAAGGTTCTTACAAGATTCAAAAGACATGGGGTCAATGTGATCAATTTTGACCTGCTTGGAGTTGAGTATCAACTCAAAAACTTCATATCGCTGAACTAGTGATGTATCTTGTTAGAGTCAGTCTTATGTTTTTACCTCAGAAGCTCTATGCCAACTAAAATAACACATGGAAAGTCTAGTTATATTCGTTAGGCAAACGGGTTCACTTCACGTATTGTATTAAAGGTACTTGTTCTGTCTGTAATTAAGGTAATACATTGTAATTAACCTTTTTCATTAATCAACCATTTTGATCAATCGTATGTTACTGATTTCTTTTCGGTTTCACGTGACCTATGCATTAGGTTACAAAGATAATCGTCTACATCAACATTCATTGAAACCAAATATATCACAGCAATATAATTAACAATGTAGTTAGTATTAGAAATATTTTTGAAAGAAGATTAATTAAAGGCAAAAACTAAAACCTACTGAAAAACTGATAGTATGACGGTGATTATTTGAAGCAGTTACAGATAACAAATGCTTCCTGGTACGTGTAAATCTACAACATCTCCATAATTTTGGTCCAGTCCTTGGATTACGTGGAAATGGTCCAGGATCCGGTTGTGAACTTGATTGACTTGATGTAATTTGTGATGATAAATGTGATGACAGCGGTAATTTTGAGTTAGAAAATGTTTCAGTTTCTGTCAAATCATTTAAAATATCGTTATTATTACTATTTTTAATTGCTTGTGAATTAGATCGACAAGTTGGTGATCTACTATCTTTGTTCTGAGTGTTTAATTTATTTGTCGTGATGTATACAAACAAATCTCTTACCTAAGAAAAATAAGAAAAAGAGAATAAAATGATATGAATGAATTCACTGACTTACTTGAGTAAATTTGTGAATAAATTTATACATTTAGAATGATTGTCTTTCCAGCTACCTAGATGGATATAAAAATGTCCAGGTAATCATATACATTTCGATAGTATATTCTGCCCTTTAAGCATATTTTTGATTCTTACCAAGAACTTGTTAGATATTAATCAAAGGCTTACTCTTAAACAGTAGCCAGTTTATTCCTATTTAATTTGACACTAATATATCCATCTCTTTCTAGTTCCACTGAAGTGGTAGATTACCCTTACATCCATCCACCAGTAGATCTGTATTGCTTCAATTCACTTCTAAGTGGTCGTCATATAGTTCATTTAAACAAGAGATCACATAAAAGATAAAAGATACTGTAGATGTCATTGCTTATGACATTTAAAGGATCTGAAACACATCAATGATATATTTGAACCGTGTACAAAAGTAACCCAACAGTCCAGTTGGAATTTACCGATTTCAGTTAACTTCCTAAAAGACTTTCATGTATTGTTATTTGTATACAAAAGTGATATTTGCTAGTCATGGCTGTAAGTATAAACTCATTTAGTCGGCAAAAAAACACTAGAAATTATATTTGATCTGTAGTCTTTAAAAGAAATGGCAGTGATGTTGGAAATATATCGTCCTCATGATCAACTGTTTCTTAATCAGATTGTATCTTCTAGAATTACTAAGATTAATAACTATTCAAAAGGATCTATTGAACTAGTGTGTCCGTGAAACTAGGGCTTAAGGTTAACTTCCGCCTATTCTTGAAACTGTGCTTTGGTGGTGTGACTATTATTATTATTATTATTATTATTATTTTATTATTATTTGTCCTTTGGATTCCTACTGGAACATTGGGCTTCAGATGCACGCCCCCATTTCACTCTCCTCCACACAGTCTTTTCAATCGAGCTCCATGACTGCTCACAAACTTTCATTTATTCCTCGCACGATCTCATCCATGTCACCCTCACCTCCGACGCCCAACTCGTCGTTTCCCACAAGGGTTCCACTCGACGGCCTCGACTTAGCTGCAGCGTGATGTCCCCAATCGGTCTTCTCATTGCATATCCAATCCACCTCCACCTTCTAGTGCATATTTGTTGAGCGATAGGTTCTTAGCTGGTTCGTTCCCAGTCACAGTTTGTTGTTACTCATTCTCGTTATTCCGACCATATGAACTCCATCTCCACCATCAAGTAAGCGTAGGTGGCAACTGTTGATGGATGTCTGTACCTTGCTAGAAATGCTTTCCGTTACGCGCAAAGTCTCTCAAACATCACATAGAAGCACTGACTTACTTGACTCACTTTGTGTTCACAATCCTGAACTTGTTCATGCTTTATGCTGACTGAAGTGCAGTGCAGTGCAGTAGATCTCTACACTGATTCAAGATTGATGAAGGAAGGCCTGTCTTGCTTGCTTCCCGATCCCTGCTTCGACGTCCTCATCTCTCCCACTGCCTGTAGTTGAAACGATGTTGCCTTGGCCTAGGCACCTACGTGAAACAGACAACTTCCTCCTTTGGGTCTCTCCCACTCATGCCGATTGCTGCTCGTTGTTCCTACTGTTGCTGTTGTCGTCGATTGGGCATCCTCATCACCTCTGTCTTCTCCACATTCACCTGAAGGAAGTCCCGTCTTCCACCACTGCCTTGCCTTGCCTCTTCTGACAACTTCACAGCTTTCGTCTGTACATCTTCCAGCTTGTGCGACAAGACATTACACACAAATCATCATCGGCAAAATCCAAATCTCCTAGTGTCTTTTCATCACTACAGCAACCATATATCCATCTTCTCACAGCTACTCACAGCTTGTGGCATGATCCAGTCCACTCCAGTCAACCACAATCAGCAAAATCATCAGTGATAGTAGGCGGCAACCTCGTCTCACTCCTGTCTTCACTTCAAACGCATCACTCAGCTTTCCAATGTGTTGTGAATCACTTGGCATGTAGCATGTAACATCATATAGCATAACATACAGCTGTTCGATGAGGTTGATCAAGGTTTGTGGCATTAAAACGGTATTGTTGAAGCAGGTGGCAAATTACTTCTCAGTAGACGCTGTCGAAGGCCTTTTCGAAGTTGATAAGTTGAGGTGAAGATCCAGTTGACAGCCATTTTATGTTCAGTTCTATGATGATGCGTAGCGTTGCGTTGCAGTCTGATCCGGAAAAAATTTGTTTTTGCTGAAGTGAAACAGCGTGTTCCGGCCGTAATTTTGAATCCGAAGTAATTTTTAATCTCTCCAAATTGATGTGCCTTAATATTTTGCTTCGAGTGGACAGGAGCATGATTCCGCGGCAGTTCTTACAAAGACTTATTTTGCCCTTCTTTTAATCCACAGGTACCTTCCCTTCGTTCCAAACCTTCTGCAATAGTAGTATGAGCATATCCGCTGCTATCTCTATGTCTGCTTTCAGTCCTTCTGTTTGTACGAAACTTATTTGGAAGTAGGATTATTTAGATGTTGTAATAAATTTATCCAGATCCATTTCAGATCGAAATTCGCAATTTCCTCTCTCTTATCAGTGTAATAATCAATCATACTAACTGAGCGTGTGGAACAAATTCAATGTGGTAAGAAGAAACTGTATATGTCATAACTGTAGCTACATTACCTAAGTATTTCGAGAAAACTTTGAAAGCATCATGCGGTTTCACAAAAATTATCATCAACTAAATGCATATCGGTGTAACATGATGTAAGTCAATATCATAAGAGAAATTGCATTGTTGTCTTATTCATCTGAAGGTTTGACTAGATCATTTGCATACATATTTTTAGTATCAAGAGTTTTCCATCTTTTCTGTTACATGCATCGAGTATATCCTTGAAAACCTTTAATGATAGGAAGTTTCTGTAGATTTTTCAGTTTTCAGCTCCTTTTCAGACTATTTTCCACTGAAAAGCTAAAGATATCTTAATGTATTATCAATTACTATCTTCTTTCTTATGATATGGAATCCATGAATGAAACACTTCTCTCTTGACTAATATGGATAATTTATAATTTACATATCTTAACCGTAGAATGTTATAAAGTAAACATTTGAACTGTAACCATAATTTATAACAAGATAGAAATCTACTGGTTTAAATTAAAATCGGTTAACTTTGTTAACCCATTAGTCACAATTTCTATATCAATATTTGGATCCTATTACTTGTTTGTTCACTAAATGTACATAAACGAGAATATTAGAAAAAACAAACAAAAGTACTGTACTATAGTAATTTGATCTGAAAATGTGAACAATTTCAATTTATAAAACTATTGAACTTTGAACAACTTGTTCTACATTATTCTATGTTTTTCAAAATGTTAACAAATGATAGTCATATGTAATGATGGATCTTTTTTTAAAAATATTTAGAAAAAAGGACAGAATAGACATTTTCATGTAATGAGTCAAAGTATTCCGCTTTCATTGATACATCCATCAAAGTTTAACTCCATTTTTAAAGAAGAAAAAAGTATTTTACACGTTCTGATTTTTATCACTCATCATAACTATTAAATAACATCATATTTAATTATATTACTAGAATGAACAGATTTTAAGAATGTAAAATTGATTCGTTTGCGGACCACAGCGATTCATGGTAGGGGGTAGGGGGGTGTGTAACTACAGACCAATAACATGAAAATGAATAGTGATGGATGATATGAGTGAATATGGAAGAAACCTTCTTGATGAGTGCTAACAAATGCTAAATCGATTGTCTCATAACTGATGACACCGAAATACAGTGCACTATAACGTTCAGTAACTTAACCTGGTGAATATATGGCAAACTTCACAGATAAACTTCAGTCTATGCTGAGCACTCAGAATCTGTCAGCTACGTCATTTATTCTCAAGTGAAAATTTCATGAAAATGCCCAGTAAACAGAAAAAAACAGCTAATGTCAAAACATAATTAGAACCAACAGCTATCAGGCCGTCCAAACCAAACTATCCCTAGAGGATAAGCAATTGACTGTTGATTAGGTCTTAGTTTCCCTCAGTCGAGTAGTGTGAACATTTACAGTAGAATAATAATTTGCGGACCAGGAAGGAAACAACACATACTGGACAATTGACTATTGCCGTTTTATAAACCTTGTTTGTTTCCAGATCACCTCAACGTCACCTATCAATTCATCAGCTGCCAATTATGTGAATATGAATGAAAGAGATGTATACAACAGGCCATGCGAATGCCGCATGGTCCCGAGTATCTACCCGTACCTCCTTAGCGGGGACGACATTGAGTGCCTGATGTTCGTTATCCTGTTAAGGCCGGCCGCATCTCACACTCACACTAATACCAACACTGCCTTCACCTCGGTTAGTGGGGTAGCACTCAGACATTTTAGTCTTTACTGTTGCATAGTGGTAGCAGACAACTGACTAAATTCTTAGTCAATTAGTGATTGCTTCCGAAAACCCGTTCTCCAACTAGAAGGGATGATAAGAGCTTCATTGCCTCGAGAGTTCGATAGCGACCGCTAATTCAGTCACCAGTGTGAACCTCATCATGACCTACAACCTATACCTCAGACAGGTAAGCACGCCGGCCAACTCGGGGGAGGCAGTAGGTATATACCTCGTTGCCTTAATCATATCTTGTATGCATTGCATACTCTCCCGTTACCTAGTAAATCACGGTGCATGCGTCTCCAGCGAACAGATTAGGTACCCGGGAAAGTTTGATAGTTGGTTAAATAAGTGTGTTAAAGTTAGTTATACTGTCTCAAAACGTTAGTAAGATGAAAGAAAAATTAGTGTGATATCTTGCTATACTATTCAAATTACTGAATTAGTGGTTTCGATGGCAAAAGATTCTATAATCTCAAGTTTTTTTTCTCCCAAGAAAATGTTTTCCAGTAGGTGGCCTAGAGTCTTCTCTTTGACAGTCATTCGAAACTTCCTAAACAGTTGAAAGCAATCAACAGAAAGTCTTTGACTTAGGTACTACGTCTGTGACACTCATCAGCAAGAGTTATTTGCAACCTTGGGGGAACTGATGTCTCCTCAGAAACCCTAACCCGTGTCACCCCAAGCTACTGTCAGATAAGATACTAGATACCTCTTCAGGCCCAAACCAACCTCTTATGTGAACAGATTAGATACACTGACTGGGCACTAGAGGGTAACGGATTTCATGTTTTCTAGTTCGGTCACTCTTTAATGGCCAAACAAAGTATCTGATTTGAACTCTAAACAATCCCATCTTTTTTAGGTTGGTATTCATCATGGACTGACATCAGTTGGAGGAACATTTGAAACCTGGGATGAATTACAACCTCAAACCGATTATTAAGCCTCCTTAAACTTCCAGATAGAATTAATTTAACGCTCATTCGGGATTAGATTTGAGAGGCGATTCCAAAGTTCCAATGAAAAGTAGTGACCGGTGAAGTCAACCGAGTCGAACATGAGGATAGTTAATCAACGACGACGTTGGATGGAAGTCACGCTATTTCATGAACTGGCAGAAAAAAGAAATGTGGACCATTGGATTCCTACCCAGTGGCTCAGCGGTAACGTGCCGACCACGGGGCCCGGAGGTCCTGGGTTCGACCACGAGATCTACCGCACTACCCTGCACTGCACTCAGCATAAAGCGTGAACAAGATCCGGATTCTCAACACTAATGTCAGTCAAGTAAGTCAGTGCTTCCATGTGATGGTTGAGAGACTTGGCACGTTACGAAAAGCATTTCCAACAAAATGCAGACATACATCACATCAACAGCTGACTCCTACACCCACTCGATACTGAAGATCGATGAGATGGATAGCCAGAAGATTAAGAATGAGCAAACGGGAACTCTTGCTGGGTGGGTGGCCATGCATGTTCTCATGGAGTTATACCTCTCATCATCTAACCACACAGGGACTAGCCTGGTCACAAGAGAATTTTTGGAAGACCTAGAATACATAGATGATACAGTCCTGTTAGGTGAAGACGCTGACAAGATGCAGAGTCTTCTGAACATGGGCGCGCACTGGTGAGGAGCCATATACTAGGACGAAACAGCTGTTCAGCGCTTCCAGATTTCCAATGTTTCTCCAACTGATGTCGGTCCATGCTGAATTCTGACTTAAAATCAATTGCTAAACCTCCAGATAGAATTCCATCTTTACCTAATGGTCGTTGCATGAGTACATCGATGATAGAGACACAATTACAAACCATAAAATCATACCATATTTGTTCTGAGTATTATATACATATATACCCATGCATCAGTTAAATAACACACGTATGAATGGTTCTATACAATCGACAACACGAAGAATATGAAATTTAGGAGTTACTTAACCTCAAACCAAAGTATTTTCGACCAAATACTGATGGTTAAATGAAAACTAGTCAACTGACTCAACAGAAATATATGCTAACATGAAGATTCTTCAAAATACCTCTTCTTCGAATCTTTATATCTACTTAAAAATGAAGATTATGGTTGAGATCATATTCATTTATGATCTTTGATCATTGAATCCATCTTCTACCATGCAAATGAAAGAAATGAGATGTAAGCATGGCGCATATATTTCACTATAGTGACCTAATGTTTTCCTTTTTCATTCTGTTTCACATCAAAGAGAATAAAGTTGGAAAAAAAAGGAAACAAATCATTAGTGTTGAAAGGTGTAAGATAACTGTGGTTGATATACAACAGGAATTTCCTGATTTGGAGTCTTCTACCTCATGTAGTGCGAAAAGTTTCTTTCAAATTTATAGATTGTTCCATAAGGAAAATTTTTTGTTAAGCAGAAATAGTAACTAAATTTCTCTTCGCTAGAATTATATAACATTAGTTGATTTATTGCAAAATAAAATGGCTTACCATTTCCAATGAAAGATAACCTGAATAGGCAACATTTTCAGCAAAATCATTCAAGGTCATTGTCGGAAATCTGATCAATGGTAAAATATTTGCAGCAAGATGAACTCGATTAGAAACAACATCTCTAATCCCTAAACGACTACATTCAGCTCCAGCCCAACGTCCAACTGCTGCAAATACTTCAGATTCTTGACAATTCAGTGTATCTCGACGTACAAGATCCTGAAGATAGTTTGAATTCAATGTCAGTAATCCTTGTGATTGAAGAACATCAGATGCCTAGAATTCATTAAAAAATAAAATCAATTAATTGATAGGCAATAATAAAACATAAAATTTTCATCGTTTTTTTAATGAGAAAATCTCAGTTGATATATGTATTGGCAATGAAAATATTTTCTGCTCTTTGATAAACAATGAAATTTATAGGTATGAAAATTCATAATAATAATTCGAACGAAATTCTTGCAGTCATTAGAATTCATGTTAGAAAAATTTATGATCTCAAGGATACGTTTTAGCACTTGTGAGTAGTTAAAAAATCAATTGCAAAACACTGTTATTTGATTGGACATTTATTTTGTCGATGCTTATAATCCATGTTTTTCTATAATTTCAATTTTTAAGGTATTTAATAATCTTACCTAAAATAAGTCTTAACACACTCCCAAATTGTTTGTAAAATCAAAGTAAGCCTTCTTAAAAGATTTTGTTGAGTAGTTAAAACTTAATTAGAAAAATATTCCGATTATAAAATAAACTTACTACATTGATCATTGAATCAAACTTGGCGTTAAATTCCTTCAACAAATTCCTAATAGTTATAAACTAGTTATCTCAAAGGATAAGAGTTTGAGTGAATATGTACTTTCATTGAAGTTACATTATTCTGTACCTCTAATACAATAGCTTGCACTAAAAACAAACAAAATATGTCGAGTGTTTACATGAATTTTTGACATTTATCTGTACACAAGGATAATTATGAGACGAAAATTATGTAACACTTTATTTCACAAGATCTCGAATGACACAGAAACAATCAACATAGAACCTCACACACACGTACATCGGTTCAAAATACCACACTTCAAACTTGTTTACAAGCAACACGTGAATACAAAAACACTGGTATCAAACTACACAAAGTTGCACGAGAGAATAAACATCCTGAAGACTACCTTCAGTGAGAATATCAAACCTTTAGAAGATGTCAAGAAGTGAATACATCCACCCCATTGTGACTGATTCTCAACCATGTCACCGACAGTTCTCAACCACTCATTCCTATCATCTCAGACAACCAAGCCAGATACTCTACATCTCCCCACACAACTCACATCAACATCCACAGACTTCATGCACTGATGTCAGGTGTTGGTGTGGCCACCATGAACCCTCTTCCGACTTAATACAACTTCCTGTATCGGGTAGGTGATGGCTCGACATGTGCAACACATGTCCAATCCACCTCACCCGATGAAGGTTCACACCCTCATCAATCCGGTCGCCTTTCTGATGCCTAGTACCCTTTGCCTGACCACAACATTATTCACATAGTGATTCTAAAAAATGTGATCTGAACCCTGCAACCACTTCGTGTTTTCTATTTTCGACGGCTATGTTTCACAGCCGTACAACAGGACAGGACGGACTGAAGTGGTGCAGTATACTCATACTTCGGTCTATAGATAAACGGAGTTCTTGCCATTCGGAGCCTCAGGTAACGCAAGTTGGCAAATGTCAAACGGGCCTTTCGTATCCGATCTGAGATTTAAGCAGCAACCAAGTAAGTTGTGTGGTCGACACATTCCACCACTTCACTCTCTATTCTTTAACTGGGAGTGGCTGCAGACCGGTTTTGGAGCATCATGTTAAATATGACAGGTGTAAAACGCATGCCGGACTTTTGATCAACGCGTTCAGAAGACCCTGCATTTCGTTAGCATCTTCATCTGGTTCGACAATATCATCTTCATACTCCAAGTCAACCAGATGACTTCGACAGAGTAGACCAGTCACTTTGAAGTCAGAACTACCTAAGATGCACCATATATCTGAATGTTTACACAAACAAGTCACATCAATGCAAATGAATTCTAACAGTTATCGATAAGATGTTTAATCAATTCCTAGTACTTATAACACCTATACCTGACTGATATAAACGGTTCGAAATATAAAGGATACGTAACTTGGATAACTGAGATTTCATTAGGTTACCTTCTGTATATAAAATAGATTTTTTCAAGAAGAGTAGTTGTTTAAATTTAAGGCCAAAGTCATAAGCTTCCTAATTTATGCTTCGCATTTATCAATTCATAGGTGATAGGCATTTTCCCAACGAATATGATCCTCTTTTTTATAGCTTGAATAATAAAGTTGTGTCTTTTCAATATTTTTGTGCATGTCAATGCTATCACTTGTATGTATGTATACATGGATTTTTTATTCACTGAATAACCAGAAAAATAGTTGCTAACATGCATATGGCCATCGATGCAAGTAGTGGCTATTAAGGGTGTACATTTACTCGATATCCAAATTTCACTGTCATTCCGAAATCATAAAAAATTATCAATAGAATTAGGATATTGTTACTGATACATAAGTTTGAGTGTAAGCTATAAAAAAAGCCATAAACACTTTTCGTGATCATTCAAGGCAGTGCTTACAACTCAAAGAATATTCACATGGTTTTCATATTGTCGATAGTTTTTGAGTGTAGAATAAATTGTCAAAAAACTTATCAGGAATGTTGAAGATCTTTTTTATAAAAACTGCATACTGTAACAATAAGTACATAGTCACTAATGAATTAAAATTAAAATATGATTTAGAAATGTTAATTATGTTTATTCACTGTTATCCAGATATAAATTATCGTTATCCTGATTAAGCTAGGCACCAAATTGCTTACTAAATAAGCGAAATAGTTGTGATTTGCTTAGAGCACACTGATCTGACCGGTAAAATCCATAGGGGAGCATAAGTTGTTTTTTTTCTGGACAACCCACTTTTTTACCAGTATAATTTACCATTATTATTATTATCACGTTCACCAATATTAGCAGCTATATAGTTAATCTTTACAATGTACCCACTGAGAGAAACAAGTTTATATCACTGTGTTCCTAAATAATCTAGTAGACAGTTACAACCAGAGCTCAGATAACTTTGTATCGGTCCAAATTTTATCATATTCTTCGTTAGCAGATGTGAGTGGAGGTCAATACGACAGTTTTAATGCACAGCAGTAACAGTGATAATAGATATGAATTCTTTTGTCCGATGGCTATCCATTTTGAATTGCATCCCACTCGCTCTCTAAACATTAGTTCCACTTATATCATGACCCATAACTAGCAGAATTTGACTCCTTCGAATGAGTCAGAATAACAGTCAGAATCTTGAAAAGTGGATGAAATGTTTTGGTTTAACTTCTTCTGGCTCACTCTCAACATAATCCTACTATACAGTGAACAATTATTGGGCTAGACGATAGGTCATCCTTCCAAGCAGGTGTCTCAGCAACTTCGGTTGGTTCAGTATGTTCCCTGAACTTATTCAAAATGAAATTCAATTGCATATGATCATTTCTACAAAGGCAACAGTAAGCAAAGTTCCGTAGTTATCACTACCTTTAGACGTACGATGTTCACTTTATTACATGACAATATAGTAGGACAGAGTTTACTGCTAATCGGTGTACTCAACTCATCTGACTGACATAACGCGTTGCTGTTACACCTATCTAAGAGTCCTGGCATGATTTCACATGTCAGTGTCATGATAATTAAACTAGAACATTCCATATCATGCTATCAAATTACCGTGATTTCATACGGTTACTAAAGCTTCTGAGCGCATTTTCGTAGTGAGTTGTGCTGTATAGACATGAGTTCCAGACTATTGATTATCTGCCTATTAAAATTTGCAGATTACACATGGGAAGCAATGTCAACGAATATATCGGAATAGAACTTCGATACATTATGACACATGAAATTGTGTCCATCAGTTGAAATATAAAATTATTTTCCCAATGGTTGACTTGTTTTGACGACAATCAGCCATTTTTTAATTATTCTGCACAAATGTGCCATTCTCAATTTATTGGTCAGAATTATGTTGCAAGTGATCAGAACGCATTCAGACGCCATCTGTAATAGTGCTTATATAATTTATTCTCCGGTTAACCATCTACATTGACAGTTTCTTTCAAAATCACCTACAGTAAAACTTACTACCATTTCCTGACATAAACTGTATGTTTTGGTGATTACAGGGAATAGCAGTGTGTATTACCTAGACAGAGGCGCTGGCGTTTGAACTTTTCGTCACATCTCTAAGTGAGAAACAAAAACAGACTGTATTCAGTGACTTAATAAGAAACTTTTTACAACGATAGTACAAGAACTTACAAGACAAGTGATTCATCAGAAGTTGGATATCCTAAAATATAACTGAGCGGTTGGCTATCTTTAAAACTGCTATAGTTTGTAATGAATATTATGGAGACGTATTGAATATACATAGGTTAGGCATACAAATATACTGACCAGCAGTGAGTGAAATGCTAAAGCTGTCAAATAGCAAAGCCTTAGCTAACGATTATAACCAGTGTTTATTTGTACAAAAACATATTGGATTATTTTTGATCAAAAAAACCCTATTACATAGGTATAAATAACTAGACTTCCTAAGCTAGCATTGAAAAGCATACGAATACCTATTCCCCTAAAGTTTCATTAGGCTCTACAATAAATACAATAATCTGCACTCAGAAAAAAACACGTGGAATGGTTTCATGAAATTTTAACAGTTATCTATACATTAAGCCAATTCTGAGATGGGAATTGTGTATTTCACGAAGACGTTTGTCATCAAAACCCTGTAATCGCTTCATGTCTAATAATTCAATGACCATGCCTCAGATCCATATAACAGAACAAAATGACCTGCAGCACAGATAATCAGAAATCTCGCCAGTTGCCACTAGGGATGATGCAAACTGGTGAATGCCACACGGGCCTACTCTATTCGAGTTAGGATTTCGTCAGCAGCCGACCTGTTCGGATTGATGCGACTCTGGCGAAATATTCGTCTTTCTACTTAAGATGAAGATGCAAACGAAATGCAGGGTCTTCTGAACGCGTTGATCAAAAGTCCGGCATGCGTTTTACACCTGTCATATTTAACATGATGCTCCAAAACCGGTCTGCAGCCACTCCCAGTTCAAGAATAGAGAGTGAAGTGGTGGAATGTGTCGACCACAT